AAGTCAACCCGAGAAATGCAAACCAGGCTGCAGTTGTTAAGAGTTGACTTGTCCTGAATAATTGATGCAGATGTATGCTCTGGTACATTCCCCAAGATGGACTTTCTTACATTATGAAGAAATGCGTGGATCGATGCTTCTACAATGAGAGCATCTAAGACGAAAGATGCACTAGGATCTATGACATAGTTCTTGCTTCCGGAATCTTGAAGATAAAATGGTTCTAGAAACCATGTAGAGCAAGTCCTCAGGTTAAGGACACCCTTGTTTAAGGATGGCCTGTACTTAAAAAGAGAGGCTAATTCTGCTAAACACCTAATTTCCACAGCACTGTCTTATGCCGAAAGATATTTACCCATGTAGTAAGGATGTGTTGGCATTAGCCTTCTCATCTTCTCATCTTTCTCATCGTCTCATCTTTCCTACTACCTTCTCTTATTGGTATCTTATGATTGATCACTTCTTGTTTGGATATTATCATTTATGATGGTATCTTATGATTTATGATCTATGACGTATCACTTTGTTGTTTGTATGTACACTGAGAGCTTAAGCACTGGAGACAAATTCCTAGCCAATAAATAATATTTCTATTCTATTCTATTCTATTCTATTCTATTCTATTCTATTCCATTCCATTCCATTCCATTCCATTCCATTCCATTCCATTCTATTCTATTCTATTCTATTCTATTCTATTCTATTCTATTCTATTCTATTCTATTCTTATATTCCATTCCATTCCATTCCATTCCATTCCATTCCATTCCATTCCATTCTATTCTATTCTATTCTATTCTATTCTATTCTATTCTATTCTATTCTATTCTATTCTATTCTATTCTATTCTATATTTCATTCCATTCCATATTCCATTCCATTCCATTCCTCTATTCTATTCTATTCTATTCTATTCTATTCTATTCTATTCTATTCTATTCTATTCTTATATTCCATTCCATTCCATTCCATTCTATTCTATTCTATTCTATTCTATTCTATTCTATTCTATTCTATTCTATTCTATTCTATTCTTATATTCCATTCCATTCCATTCCATTCTATTCTATTCTATTCTATTCTTATATTCCATTCCATTCTATTCTATTCTTATTTTCCATTCCATTCCATTCCATTATAGCAAAAATTGAGTTAAATACAGTGATTCAAGTTCTAAACCATATGATGCTTAAACCAGAATTACAGCAATATTTCCTGATAGTGAGAACAATTAAGCGAGAACAGTGGTATAGCTTGCCTTCCAGAGTTGTGGGTCCTCCATCACTGGAGGCTTTCAAAAATAGACTGAGCAACCATTTGATTGGGATGGTATAAGGCCTCTTGCATTGGGCATTGGGTTGGACTAGAAGACCTCCAAGGTCCCTTCCAGCCTTATGATTCGATGATTCCTGTTCATGGTGGCTAAGGTTTCTTCAACGTGTTGACTGACTTTGTGTTAAGAAGGAAAGAAACATTACAGTTTTTCTCCAGATTTGTTATCGAAAAATAAGAGATAACTAGGCAAGGATGTTCTTCCTGCTAATTCTTTCCGATCATTGGGACTGGACTCTTCAGATTATAAAAGAGCCTTGGTGGCGCAGTGGTTAAAATGGAGTAGTGCAGGCTACTTCTGCTGACTGCCGGCTGCCTGCAGTTCGGCAGTTCGATCCTGACCGGCTCAAGGGTGACTCAGCCTTCCATCTTTTGGAGGTAGGTAAAATGAGAACTCCGATTGTTGGGGGCAAGATGCTGACTCAGTAAACCACTTAGAGAGGGCTGTGAAGTACTGTGAAGCGGTATATAAGTCCGAGTGCTATTGCTATTGCCATTGTGCTCACCTTTAGAGGGTTATAGTAGGCCAACTATGGGTGGGAGAATTAGCGGGAATGAACAAGTAGATTCGAGCTGATGAGACTGGTTAAGCACAGTAGTCCTTGACTTACAACAATGCATGTAGTTACTGTTCGAAGTTAGAATGGCACTGAAAAAAGTGACTTATGACCGTGTTTCACACTTTACAACCATTGCAGCATCCCCAGGGTCACGTGATCAAAATTTGGGCACTTGACAACTGGTTCACATTTATGACGGTCACTGTGTCCCGGGGTCATGTGATCCCCTTTTGCGACCTTCTGTCCAGCAAAGTCAATGAGGAAGCCAGATTCGCTTAACAACCCGGTTACTACCTTAACAACTGTGCAGCATTTCACTTAACAACTGTGACAAGAAAAGTCATAAAATGGGGCAAAACTCACTTAACTGTCTTGCTTAGCAACATAAATAGATGACCTCCAAGATCCCTTCCAACATCATCATCATCATCATCACCACCACCACCACCACCACCACCACCATCACCACCATTATTATTGTTGTTGTTGTTGTTGTTGTTATCTTTTATTCATTAGACATGAACTCAGCCAACTGAACATTCAAATTGGCTGGCGCTGATGGTTGACATGGGTTGCTACCAGCATCCTAGGTATCAACCAGGTACCTCCTTAAAATATAAGATGTTCCGAGTAGCGCAGTTTTTTGTAACATTGCTGGAGTTATTGCAGGAAGCTGCAGTTTCTTGATGTATTTTACAAAGTTTTTGGACATAGTTCCCAATGCCCCGATGACAATGGGTACCACTGTTTCACACATTTCATCCACGATCGCACAGTTTCGATGCCCAGGTCGCGATATTTTGTATTTTTTTCCAGTTTTTTATTCTTTGACTCTGGCATCTCCTGGTACAGCGATATCAATCAGCTATACGCTTTGGTTCTCTACAACTGTGATATCTGGTATGTTCTGTTCCAAATGGTGATCTGTCTGTATTTGAAAGTCCCACAAGATCTTCACTCTCTCATTCTCAACAATTCTTTCCACCCTGTGTTCCCATGACTTTTCGGACATCATCATCATCATCATTATTATTATTATTATTAATTTTGGGGTCAATTGTGGCCATAAGCCAAGGACTACATGTATTAGGAGCTTGTAAACTGGAAAAAAACCTGATCTGGATCAGGGATCCCCAACCCCCGAGCTATGGACCAGTACCGGGCCGCGGCATGCCAGCAACCGGTCCGCACAAACAAGGAAAGCCCCATCCGCGGGATGCAGGCAGCACACAAAACTACGCCCCCTCCGGTCCGTGGAAAAGCCCCTCTCCACATAACTGGTCCCTGGTGCCCAAAAGGTTGGGTACCTCTGATCTAGATAAAATGATCCAGTGATTCAGTCCTTCTGAAACCATAGCTGCTAATCTGCTTTCGAGAGGCCGTGAGCTCAGCTCAACTTCAGAAGATTCAAGACCATTATCTGCGGCTTATCGATTTATTATTTTTTTATACGCCCAGCCTGAGCGATGGACTAAGACAATTGAATTAGCTCGTCCAGAGTATAATTTCTTACTGTGAGCCAGAAGGCTCTTTGAATATTAATAGCTCACAGATTAGGTCTCTGCATTGTTAGCCCTTAAAACAAAACAAAACAAAACAAAACAAAACAAAACAAAGGCATCGGAGAGCTAACCTGTAAGAAAAGTGGACTATCTCCAAGGAGAGAATGCGTGGAAAGGGGAAGAGACCGTCTACTTATGCATCACCAAGCGAGAAGGAGAGAAAAGGAGGCAGACTTCATAAGATATGCATGTGTTAAATGAACTGTATAAACACGGACTCAGAAATAATTTTTCTCCTCTGCTTCTCACTCAGTCTGACAAAGGCGAATTTTGCATTAGAAGTTTCTTTCGAAGGACAAGTGGATTTCTGTGAATTTTGGAGTGGAGTGTTTCTTTTATTAGCTGAATGACAAAAGGCTTTGGGAGGGGGGGAAATGCCCGGTTTTTCATTGGGCCTTATCTCCTCTTGGGTCTGAAGGTTTCTCCTTCTCCTTCTCCTTCCCCTTCTCTTTCCTCCTCCTCCTCCTCCTCCTCCTCCTCCTCCTCCTCCTCCTCCTCCTCCTCCTCCTCCTCCTTCTCCTTCTCCTTCTCCTTCTCTTCCTCCTCCTCCTTCTCTTCCTCCTCCCAAAGTCTCATTAAGCAGAAAGTGTTCCTTAGTCATCTTCTTTGATTTAGAATTTCTTCTCCTTCTCCTTTTCCTTCTCCTTCTCCTTCTCTTTCTCCTTCTCCTTCTTCTCCTTCCTCCTTCTCCTTCCTCCTTCTCCCTCTCATCCTCATCCTCATCTTCTCCTTCTGCTCAGCTCCTCTTCCTCCTCCTCCTGACCCGGACAAATGGCTGTCCACTCTCTTCTTAAAAATCTTGATCGATGAATGCTGGACCTCTTTTGATGACTTCAGCGAGCCATTCTCCCCTGGGTCCTTGGATTACAACTCCCATTATTCCTAGCTACTTAAAATGTTGTCTGCGAGTGATGGGGTTTACAATCCAGTGTATTTGAAAGTGTCTAGTTGGAGGTGACCAGCTGCAACAATGAGAGTTGCACCCAGGTCTAGAGCTGGAGTTATGCAAGCAATTAAAAAGCTGTGTAAGATCAAGATGTTCGATTGGACCATGGAATACAGATTCTGCTAAGCATTGGCAACATCTGTGTTTTTGACTGATATCTTAGTACCGAAAGAAGACTGAACTATGGGATCCTTAATGTTCTCCGAGCTTGCAATGAAACGTCTCGCAGACATTTCATTACCCAGCTAAGTAACATCATCAATTTTAGAAGGGAGTGGCGTTTGCTTTCTGTTTATATACAAGCGGTTTGTCCTGTCAGTCTTGGTAGAAATGTCCTTGGTAGTTCCTTGATTGGGTTGTTATTTATGGCTTGCTTTTTAGCCTAGTGTTAATCCAGCCCCCACCACCTTCTAACACTGATTATGTTATCTAGTTTGGTAACGAAACGTGTGTAAAAATTCCACTAAGCTCAGAGATCACCAAGGACCGCCTATTTCCTACTGCAGATATTAGTGAGATTACAGCATCAGCAAAAGCTTATAGAGCTTTGGGGAATATTGGTGGCTTTCTTACAACTATTCTGTTTTTCTTGTTTTTCAGGATGAAAAGAACCAAATGATGACCACCAATGTTTGGGTAAAACAAGTGAGTCAACCAAGATGTCCTTATTCCCCCCCCCCCACGTTCCAGAGATCTAGCTCCTACTTAGCTCAGAAAGAAGGAGGCATAAATGTGGGTGGAGGGAGGGATGGTGAGGAGTTTCCCTCTACAAATATCACCCTTTTTGAGGGTGAGGAATGACATGAAATATCCAGAAATTTTCCTGCTCATTTACCTTTATGTAAATGGGTATTAAAAAGACTTGGTCCAGACAGTCTGGCTCTTGTTTTTGAAAGCTGTCTCATAAACTTCTTAAAATTCCAAATAAATCCAGCGTTTCCCAACCGTGGCAATTTCCAGGTATGTGGACTTCAACTCCCAGAATACCACAACCACTATGGCTGTTGAGGGAAATTCTGAGAGTTGAAGTCCACCCTCCTCCTCCTTCTCCCCCTCCTCCCCCTCCTCCTCCTTCCTTCTCCTCCCTCCCTTCTCCTCCCCACTGCTTCCCTCCCTCTCCTCTTCCTCCTCCACTCTTCCCCCTTCCTCCTCCTCCCCCTCCTCCCCCCACTGCTTCTTCTTCCTCCCCCTCCTTCTCCCCTCCTCTTCCTCTTCCTCCTCCCCTCCACTGCTTCCTCTTCCTCCCCTCCTCTTCCTCATACTCCTCCCCTCCTCTGCCTCCCCCTCCTCTGCCTCCTCCTCCTCCCCTCTCCTTCCTCTTCTTCCTCCTCCCCTCCTCTTCCTCCCTTCCTCCACCTCCTCCTTCCCCCTCCTCCCCCACTGCTTCCTCTTCCTCCCCCTCATTCTCCCCCTCCTCTTCCTCCTCCTCCCCTCCACTGCTTCCTCTTCCTCCCCCTCCTCTTCCTCCTCCTCCCCCTCCCCCTTCCTCTTCCTCTTCCTCCTCCCCTCTTTCCTCTTCCTCCTCCTCCCCTCCTCTTCCCCCTTCCTCCACCTCCTCCTCCCTCTCCTCCCCCCCTCCACTGCTTCCTCTTCTTCCCCCTCCTCTGCCTCCCCCTCCTCTTCCTCCTCCTCCCCTCCTCTTCCTCTCCCTCTCTTCCTCCTCCTCCTCTCCCTCCCTCCTCCTCCTCCTCCCTCTCCCCTTCCTCTTCCTCCTCCCCTCCTCCTCCCCCTCCTCTTCTCCCTTTCCTCCTCCTCCTCCTCCCTCTCCTCCCCCCCTCCACTGCTTCCTCTTCTTCCCCCTCCTCTGCCTCCTCCTCCCCCTCCCCCTTCCTCTTCCTCTTCCTCCTCCCCTCTTTCCTCTTCCTCCTCCTCCCCTCCTCTTCCCCCTTCCTCCACCTCCTCCTCCCTCTCCTCCCCCCCTCCACTGCTTCCTCTTCTTCCCCCTCCTCTGCCTCCCCCTCCTCTTCCTCCTCCTCCCCTCCTCTTCCTCTCCCTCTCTTCCTCCTCCTCCTCTCCCTCCCTCCTCCTCCTCCTCCCTCTCCCCTTCCTCTTCCTCCTCCCCTCCTCCTCCCCCTCCTCTTCTCCCTTTCCTCCTCCTCCTCCTCCCTCTCCACCCCCTCCATGGCTTCCTCTTCCTCCCCCTCCCCCTCCTCCCCCCTCCCCCCTCCTCCTCCTCCCTTCAACTAACCCACTTAGTACATTCCTATAAGGGTTTCCAGGAGGTGACCTCATTCATATGTTCAGAGGAAACCAGAATATAACCTAATGGTCTCTTTTCACAACCTCCAGGTGAAGGGATTTCTGAGCGATAATTGAGAATAAATCCTGTCCCCAGATTCCAAAAGCTTTTGTTATATTTCAACTAATGAGACTACCTGTAGTATAGGTCAATATTTCTCACGCTGGCTGGGGAATTCTGGGAGATAAAATCCACATGTCTTAAAATTGCTAAGCATGAGAAACATGGATGCAGTCATTCTCCTTGCTCCTATATGCCTGACATAAAATGTGTTCAAAGTTTGATGTCTATGGAGAGGCTCAATCATCCAGGCCACGGTGGTCCCCAAGGTGCTTTTTTCAAAAATTCAACTGGAATTCCTTTGTTTTTCTTTCACAATGTTTCACTTCTCATCCAAGAAGCTTCTTCAGTTCTGACTTCAGAATTTGATCATTAATATTGCTTTCTTTTTTGGGGGCGGGGGTCTAATTATTCATCTGGTATTTCCTGCCTTTTAGGAGTGGCATGATTACAAGTTACGTTGGGATCCTGAAGAATATGAGAATGTTACGTCGATACGAATCCCATCTGAGCTTATCTGGAGACCGGACATAGTACTTTACAACAAGTAAGAGCATATGCTGAGCGTCTTTCCTTTAGGGCTGTGGTTTTATTTTGTCTTCCTGGAAACACAAAGCATTTCTGCAGAGGTCGGGCTCCAGTAACCAAGAAGGACACATTGAGATTCTCTACCAGTGTTTCTCAACCTTGACAATTTTAAGGCATGTGGACTTCAACTCCCAGAATTCCACAGCCAGCATTGCTGGCTGTGGAATTCTGGGAGTTGAAGTCCACATGCCTTAAAATTGTCAAGGTTGAGAAACATCTAAGCAATTTCCTTTATAGACAGAAATCTTGTCAAAATAAAACAAATCATGTAGGAAAATCTAGTAAGTGCAAATAGAAAGATAAAGCCATCTGAGTGACTTTGGGTCAGTCACCAGGAGACTGTGAGTTCTAGTCCTGCCTTAAGCAGGAAAGCCGGCTAGGTGACTTTGGGCCAGTAACTCTTCTCTCAGCCCAACTTACCTCACAGTGGTGGTGTTGTTATAGGAAAAATAGGAGACAGAAGGTATATTGGATATGTTCACTGTCTTGAGTTATTTATTTAAAAAGATAACAAAGGTGGACATAGATAGATAGATAGATAGATAGATAGATAGATAGATAGATAGATAGATAGATAGATGATAGATAGAGAGATAGATAGATAGATGAGAGATAGATAGATAGATGATATAGATAGATAGATAGATAGATAGATAGATAGATAGATAGATAATAGATAGATAGATAGATGATAGATAGATAGATAGATAGATGATAGATAGATAGATAGATGATAGATAGATAGATAGATAGATAGACAGACAGACAGACAGATAGATGAGAGATAGATGAGAGCTAGATAGATGAGAGAGATGATAGATAGATAGATAGATAGATAGATAGATAGATGATATAGGATAGATAGATAGATGATAGATAGACAGATAGATAGACAGATAGATGAAAGATAGATGAGAGATAGATAGATAGATGAGATAGATAGATAGATAGATGATAGATAGATAGATAGATAGATAGACAGATAGATAGATGAGAGATAGATGAGAGATAGATAGATAGATGAGATAGATGATAGATAGATTAGATAGATAGATTAGATTAAATAGATAGATAGATGATAGATGATAGATGATAGATAGATAGATAGATAGATAGATGATATAGATAGATAGATAGATAGATGATAGATAGATAGATAGATAGATAGATAGATAGATAGATAGATAGATAGATAGATAGATAGATAGACGGACAGATAGATTCAGGAACTCTAGAAAGGAAATTTGCTAGAGACCATGGACTGGTAGACCTCTTCAACCAGAGGACTTAAGATGGGTCAAGAAAACCACTGGACTCAATGTAAATTATGAAATATATTTTGCTTCTGGGTGCAAATGAGAAAATGGTGTTGTCTCTTACATCTATAAGTCTTTGTGTAGGGAAATTCTCGTCCACCGGTAAGAAAGGAAAAAAGTGATATCAATATTGTGTTTCACAGAAGAAGCTGTAGGAAGGGGAAGAAAGGATAAAATGTCGAAGATTCTGCCCTTGAAATAGCCTGTTTGACATTCTGAGCTTGAAACTTAAGCAAATTGTCCCACAATGCGGTTTCCTTCTGACCTTAGAACAAAGTCTGACCATATTAAATGATAATATTTTGGGTGGGGTGAGATGTATTTGTTTTTTGGTGAAATATTATTTTAAAGAATAATTAGAGATAAAATATAATGAACAGACAAAGGGTTTTAAAGCATCATGGAGATTTTCCAATGCATCATTAGTTAATTATGAGTAACTGAATTGTATGGTTTCTAAAAGACTGAAAATCGCCATCCCGTGCCAATATTTTGAGTGTTTGAGACACAGAAGATAACCTTAGCAGTGAGGTGAGCTCAAAACAAACTTGTGGATGCCAAAATTTTGTTTCGAAGTTGGAGCAAAACACGACTGCTCTTTTGAATTTTGCTGTGATGAAACACAACCGGTATTTTGTTAAATGTTGCAGAGGGAGGTTGGGGACGAGGACTGCTTCGTTCTGAATTTGAAAAAAAACAAAACAACCCAACCTTTGTCATTTTATTCACCCTTCTCAAATTCTGCACAGACTTCTACAGAGCTGCTCACCCTTGTGAAATTAATTGGAAAGGTGGATTTGCCTGGGAACTCAACATGTACCCAACGGTGAAGAGAAGGATCAGAAGTTGCTTTATACTGGTGTTTCTCAACCTGGGCAACTTTTTATACATGTGGACTTCTGCTCCCAGTGGGGAATGTCTTAATAAGTAATCCTTAACTTACAAACACCAGTGAGCCCCAGATTTCCACTGCTAAGCAAGACACTAAGTGAATCATGCGGTCGTTAAGCAAATCTTGACATTGCTTGCCAGAAGCCAGCTGGGAAAGTCACAAAAACTGATCACATGACCCCGGGACACAGCTACTGTCATAAATACATGCCAGCTGCCAAGTGTCTGAATTCTGAATTCTGATCACGTGATCATGGGGATGCTACAATGGTTGTAAGCAGTGGGGGGATTTGGCCAGTTCGCACCACTTCGGCAGAACCGGTAGCTAATTTTTTGTTGCCCAGGTCCAGAATGGACTTCTGGAAGCGGCATCCACACAGAGAACCAGTTGTTCACATATTTGAATCTCACCATTGGAGGGAGGGAGGGAGATAGATAGGTAGATAGATAGATAGATAGACAGACAGACAGACAGACAGACAGACAGACAGACAGACAGACAGACAGACAGATTGAATTGTTGAATTGTCCCATGGGAGAGTTGGCCCCAGCAAGTTGTCCTATTCCATTTAGAGCAGGGGTCTCCAAACTTGGTAACTTTAAGACCTGTAGACTTCAACTCCCACAATTCCTCAGCCACCCTGGCCGGCTATGGAATTCTGGGAGTTGAAGTCCACAGATCCTAAAATTACCGTACTTTCCGGCGTATAAGACGACTTTTGAGAGCGTTGAAATAGGCGCTGAACTCGGGGGTTGTCTTATACGCCGGAAATAACGGTAGTTTCTGGCGTATAAAACGACTTTCTAGCATGCAACTCGGCATCAATCGTCTTATACGCCGGAAATAATGGTAGTTTCCGGCGTATAAGATGACTTTCTAGGCATGCGACTCGGCGTGATCGTCTTATATGACGGAAATAACAATAGTTTCCAGCGTATAAGACGACTTTCTAGGCATGCGACTCGGCGTCGAAGTCGGGGGTCGTCTTATACGCCGGGTCACCTTATACACCGGAATATACGGTACCAAGATTGGACATCCTTCTAAAACGTTCACCATGCTGGCTGGGGAATTCTGCACAAGTCTTAAGGTTGACAAATTTGGAGACCCCTGCTTTTAGAGAGGCATTCTTCCCAGACATACCTGGTCTCCCTCCAAATCCTTGTCCACTCTGATGGAGTGCTTATTTTTAATTATTCCATCTGCAACCTGCTTCAAGTGAGATTTCTTGGCAAAGTAGCATTAATCTGCAGTAAATCGTTTGGATGACGGGCCAGCCAAGCTTCTTACCCCTTTGAATCAATGGAATCACCTTAGTAAACCAAAACATAATTTTATTTTATTTTTTTGTATATGCTGGTGCTGCAGTGGTCTGGCAGAAATCTCTGGCAGGCGATTCTTCAAAAAAAACATAAGGATACAGATAGTCCTTGACTTAACAACCATATTTTTAAGAAGAGGCTAGACAGTCACTTGTCTGGGATGGTATAGATCAGTGGTGGCGAACCTATGGCACAGGTGCCAGAGGCGGCACTCAGAGCCTTCACTATGGACACACGCGCCATCGCCCCAGTCCTAGGCCTTCAGCTGGGTTTTATAAAACCTTTTCGCTTTAGGCCTCTGCCGCCGTGTGCAAAAAAAAAAAAAAAGTTCAATCAGTCAATTTCAACTTCTTGTGGGAAAAAAAAAGATCTTGCAAAGTTGGAATTGATTGATTGAACTTTTTAGTCCCACCTAGTCTGCCGTTACCACTGCAGCCACGCCCACCCAATGGCCCCACCCAGCCAATTGGCCACACCCACCCAATGGGCCACACCCACCCAACACTCGATGATGCATAAGTGGGTTTTGAGTTGCAGTTTGGGCACTTGGTCTCTAAAAGGTTCGCCATCACTGGTTATAGTTTCTCCTGCTTAAGTGGGGGACTGGACCAGAAGACCTTCAAGGTCCCTTCCAACTCTACTCTACTCTACTCTACTCTACTCTACTCTACTCTACTCTACTCTACTCTACTCTACTCTACTCTACTCTACTCCACTCCACTCCACTCCACTCCATTCCATATCCCATCCCATCCCATCCCATCCCATTCTTCTGTTCTGTTCCGTTCCGTTCCGTTTCGGTCCATTCCATTCCATTCCATTCTGTTCTATATTTTCTATTCTGTTCTGTTCTGTTCTGTTCTGTTCTGTTCTATTTAAAGTTACAGTGGCACCAATGTACCTGTCCCGGGCATGTGATCACCCTTGGTAACTTTCCCAGCTGAGTTTCAACAAGCAAAGTCAATGAAGGAATCCGGATTCATTTAAGTCTATAATTCCTTACTGTCACTTAACCCGAGACAGTGTAACCGTCACAAATACATACCAGCTTGCAAGCACCCAAATTTTGATCATGTGACTATAGGGAAGCTGCAAGGATTGTAAGTATGGAAAACGGTCATAAGTCACTTTTTTTCAGTGCCTTTGCCATTTTGAGCGGTCACTGAAGAAATGGTTATAAGTTGAGGACTCCTTACACTAAAGAAAAGACTTCCTAACAAAACTCATAAGTCCCTGCCTCCTCCTCCTCCTCCTCTTTCTTCTCCTTCTCCTCTTTCTTCTCCTTCTCCTTCTCCTTCTCCTTCTCCTTCTCCTTCTCCTTCTCCTTCTCCTTCTCCTTCTCCTTCTCCTTCTCCTTCTCCTTCTCCTTCTCCTTCTCCTTCTCCTTCTTCTTCTTCTTCTTCTTCTTCTTCTTCTTCTTCTTCTTCTTCTTCATAATAGTAGTAAAGTTGGAAGGGACCTTGGAGGTCATCTAGTCCAACCCTCTGCTCGGGCAGGAAACCCTACACCATTTCGGACAAATGGCTGTCCAGTCTCTTCTTAAAAACTTCCAGTGTTGGAGCATTTACTGCTTCTGGAGACGAGCTGTTCCACTGATTAATTGTTCTCACTGTCAGGAAGTTTCTCCTTAGTTCTAAGTTGCTTCTCTCCTTGATTAGTTTCCACCCGTTGCTTCTTGTCCTGCCTTCAGGTGCTTTGGAGAATAGCTTAATTCCCTCTTCTTTATGGCAGCCCCTGAGATATTGGAATACTGCTATCATGTCCCCCTTGTCTTCTTCTTCTTCTTCTTCTTCTTCTTCTTCTTCTTCTTCTTCTTCTTCTTTTCTTCTTCTTCTTCTTCTTCTTCTTCTTCTTCTTCTTCTTCTTCTTCTTCTTCTTCTTCTTCTTCTTCTTCTTCTTCTTCTTCTTCTTCTTCTTCTTCTTCTTCTTCTTCTTCTTCTTCTTCTTCTTCTTCTTCTTCTTCACTCTGTGGGCCTGATTATTACATTTCCATGCTGCCCCTCTTACCCATAAGTTGACCCTATCAATTAACCATGGCCAGATTTAAATGTTCTAATATAGGGGTGTCAAACTCGCAATGTCACGTGACATGTTGCGACGTATCACGATTTTTTTGCCATTGCCGGCAATGGGGTGGGCACGTTTTCGCTATGATGCATTCCAGCCCGCGGGCCGGCAGTTTGACACCCCTGTTCTAACACAAGAGGGTCCAACTTGGGTAATTTTAAGACTTCAACTCCCAGAATTCCCCAGCTATCCTGGCTGGCTGAGGAATTCTGGGAGTTGAAGTTGACCGATCTTAAAGTTGCTAAGATTGGACACCCCTGTAAAATATAGGCATTCTGGAGAAAAAAATATTTTTTTTCAGTACATTGAAGCAATATTTGCTATCCTGAGAATAAATTCCTAAACCAAGAAAGATATCCAGTTGGCGTTAACTGGCTCAGAAGTCAGCATTCTGTATATATTCAGCTGCAGAATATTTTTCTGCCAATTTTTAAAAACAGCTTCTAAATCCACTTGCCGCACTGTGTTTCTTTTTATTTATCATGCTGAATATATATTTGCCTAAAACATTTGGCTATATGGTAAACCTCACAAAATCAGAAAGTGGTGAAGTTGCCCAGATCTGGCTGTTTAAATACCCAATAACCAAATGGATCAATCCTTTTTTGCCTCTTCCATACAAATCTGTGAACTTTTGGTACTGTGCTCACAAAAATAATTTTGTTTCTTTGGGAAGCCTTAATTTAACTACGATACAGGTAGTCCTCGACTTATGACCACAATTCAGCTCAACATTTCTGTTGCTAAGCGAAACATTTGTTAAATGAGTTTTGCCCATTATACTATATTTGACAGTTGTTAAGGGAATCACTGCAGTTATTAAGTTATGCAGTGATTCACTTAACAACTGTGGCAAGAAAGGTCGTAAAATGAGGCAAAGCTCCCTTAATAATTGTCTTGTTTATCAATGGAAATTTTTGCCTCAGTTATGTTTGTAACTCAAGGATTACCTCAGACATTGTTATAAGTCGCATTTTCTGACACATCTCTTTTGCGGCCATTCTACCATCCCTTTAAAAAGGACAGTTGTGGTTCCGTTTCACAAACTTGTCCAGAAAAAGGTCCTCCTCCCCGCATAACGAACAGGATTTAATTTCTCCTAAGCAAGTGACTAGGCAGACATTTCGTTTACTTATAAACAGACTGAATAATTAACTCGCCCAGGTTGTAGGCACTGCGTGTGGCATTTGGAAGCGATGAAAATGAACACAATTTGTCAATCAATAAATTTGGTGTGACATATAAGTAATAAGCTGGCCGATCCGGCCTTTTCTGAAAACGTGTCAGCGTCGTGGTGATGGGCGGACTGGGGGGGGGGGAATTTAATTATCAGGAAGAGCTTAATATACATTTTATCCTTTGCAGTCATTTACAAATGGGTTTGTAAGCAGCAGCTGCTGTTGAATCCCCCATAGGTTAAGAAGACCTTTAGAAGGTCAGCTGTAGAAGAAGCGTGGTGCCGTCTGTGAAATGTTTTCAGAAATATTTGATGGCTTTTATGCCCCATAAATATATTAAAATGTTCCGTTGTGAGGGTGCAGTTTGCAACATGGCGCCATCCCCATCTCTTGGAAGGCTTTCCCTTTTTATCTCAAAAGGCAGTGACTTAAAAAAAAAAAAAAAAAAGCAAGCATCCACAGGTCTAGAAGCATGACGCGCCTGTCACTTGAAGTGGAAATCTGCCGCCTCTGTCAAGGGTGGGTAATTAGACCGGCACTTGTGGAGGTTTTGGGTCCCCATTGTGGATGGGAATAAATTATGAAACTTTGCACCGCAGCATCATACAAAGCCGAAGCGAAAACAGGCCAGGAAACTGTTTGTGTTGGTGTGTATGTTTGTGTGTATTTGTGTTTGTATGTATGTGTGCTTTGCTTTGGCAGAGATTTCCCACTGTGTGTGTGCACTTTGTTTTCACAGAGCTTTCTCACTGTTGATGGGAACAAATCATGAAAATTTGTCCCAACATCACACATAGCACAAACAAAATAATTGTGAGCTAGGGCTGTACAAAACTTGAAGTCTGTGTGTGTGTGTGTGTGTGTGTGTGTGTGTGTGTGTTGTGTTTGTCCTTTGCTTTGGCAGTAATTTCCCATTATGTGTTTGTGCTTTGTTTTCACAGAGCTTTCCCACTGTTGATGAGAATAAATTAGGAAAATTTGCCTCAACATCACACATAGCACGAACAAAATAATTGTGAGCTAGGGCTGTGCAAAACTTGAAGTGTGTGCATGTGTGTGTGTTTGTGTTTTGTGCTTGTGCTTTGCTTTGGCAGTAATTTCCCACTATGGTTGGGAATAAATTATGAAAATTTCCACAGCATTACAGTGCTTCCGACCCAGGGGGAAAAAAAATCACCACCAATTTTGTGGCTTCCCCAGCGATCAGCTTAGTCAGCGTTTTGATCTCTTTTGTTTTTAGCTGACCAATATTTCTCCTGTTAAGGGAAGATGTGGCCATGGCTGTAACTCACTGGAAACACAAAAGCTGAAAGTGATGGTGGCAGTCAGGATAATTCAGCATAGTTATGGCTTTGATGAATATCTCAGTAAAGAATGTTGACTGGACCGAGGCAGCTTGAAGGTAGCAAGGGAAATGTAAACAATGAGCTGTCCATCCCTAGCCCATTTTTTTTCAGCCTGTCTGCCTGTTTATTTGCTGGGTCAGTCGTAAGTAAATCAAAGCACATGAGAAACCCTCTTTCTGATGATCCAGTCAATCAGAATAGAGCTGGCTGAGAAATTCTGGGAGTTGAAGTCCACAAGTCATAAAAGGGCCAAGTTTGAAGACCTCTGGTATAGGGTCTCCTACTTGAGCAGGTGGTTGGACTAGAAGACCTCCAAGGTCCCTTCCAGCTCTATTCTGATTGACTGGATCATCAGAAAGAGGGTTTCTCGTGTGCTTTGATTTACTTAGGACTGACCCAGAAAATAAACAGGCAGACAGGCTGAAAAAAATGGGCTACGGATGGACAGCCCATTGTTTACATATTCCCTTGCTACCTTCAAGGCAAGCTGGCTGAGGAATTCTGGGAGTTGAAGTCCAAAAGTCCTAAAAGGGCCAAGTTTGAAGACCCCTGTCTTAAATCTAACAAACAAAACGGAGGCTGACTGAGGAATTCTGGGAGTTGAAGTCCACAAGTCCTAAAAGGACCAAGTTTGAAGACCCCTGTCTTAAATCTAACAAAGAAAATGGAGGCTAGCTGAGGAATTCTGGGGGTTGAAGTCCACAAGTCCTAAAAGGGCCAAGTTTGAAGACCCCTGCCCTATACCATTTGAGGCAAATGGTTGTCCAATCTCTTCTTAAAAACCTCCAGGGATGAAAACACCCACAACTTCAGAAGGCAAGCTATTTAATTGTCCTCACTGTTAGGAAAATTTCTTCTTAATTCCAGGTTGCTTCTCTCCTTGATTCATTTCCATCCATTGTTTCTTGTCTTGCTTTCCAGCGCTTGTGAAAATCTAAAAAAAATCCACTTTGCGTTCTCTTCTCCTTACCTCCCACAGTGCCGACGGGGATTTTGCAGTCACCCATCTGACTAAAGCCCACCTCTTCTACGACGGTCGGATTAAATGGATGCCTCCCGCCATCTACAAAAGCTCCTGCAGCATTGACGTCACCTTCTTCCCCTTTGACCAGCAGAACTGCACCATGAAATTTGGTTCCTGGACTTACGACAAGGCCAAGATTGACTTAGAGAGCATGCATCGCCACGTGGATCAGCTGGACTACTGGGAGAGTGGAGAATGGGTGATCATCAATGCTGTGGGCAACTACAACATCAAGAAGTATGAATGCTGTTCGGAGATCTACCCAGACATCACCTATTCCTTCATCATCAGGCGTCTCCCTCTGTTCTACACCATCAACTTGATTATTCCTTGTCTTCTGATCTCGTGCTTGACCGTCTTGGTCTTCTACTTGCCTTCTGAGTGTGGGGAGAAGATCACCCTATGCATCTCTGTCCTGCTGTCCTTGACGGTCTTCCTTCTTCTCATTACCGAGATCATCCCCTCAACCTCTTTGGTCATCCCCTTGATCGGAGAGTACCTTCTCTTCACCATGATCTTTGTCACGTTGTCCATCATCATCACCGTCTTCGTGCTGAATGTCCACCACCGTTCCCCTCGGACCCACACCATGCCTGCTTGGGTGCGACGGGTCTTCCTTGATATCGTCCCACGTCTTCTCTTCATGAAACGCCCTTCGACGGTCAAGGACCACTGCAAGAAGCTCATAGAATCCATGCACAAAATTGCCAACAACTCGCAACCGTTTTGGTCGGAGATGGAAGTGGAACCCAACTTTATCACCTCGTCATCCAACAGCCCTCAGAGCAATGAGCAGTCCCCTACATCATCCTTTGGAACCCACCTCGAGGACCAAAAAAGTCCTCAGCCAGCGCGTAAGTCACCCTCGGGCCAGTATTCAATGCTGCGCCCAGAACCCATCCGAGCCAGTTGCACCTCCCTCCAACCTCCCAGTCACCCCCTTGGAGACCTTCAGTCGAGCTCCATTGGCAAAGGCCGATCCCTAAGCGTCCAGCAGATGTACAGCAGTCCAGGAAAAGCAGAAGAAGGCACCATACGTTACCGATCCAAGAGCATCCAATATTGCTATTTGCAAGAAGAAGCTTCCCAGACCAACGGCCAATCTAGTGGGTCACCAGCGTCCCCACAATGCCATCTGAACGCGGACCAGCCGAAAGTCAAAGCCACCCACTGTAAATGTAAATGTAAAAAGAAGGAATCAGCCAGCACCTCTGGACAAGGGAGCAAAACGCTTAAAGAGCAACAGTTTTTGCTGATGTCACCTGCCTTGAAGTTAGCCGTGGAAGGCGTGCATTATATCGCAGACCACTTGAGAGCGGAAGATGCTGATTTTTCAGTAAGTAAAAATGAACTCCTTTCCCCCCCTCATCGCTTGCTCCTGGCAAGCCAAAAACTGAATGGACGGGGCCTTTGATACCATTTAGTAGCGCTTGTAGGATTCATGTCTTAGGTGGAACGCAAAACATAAAATTAAGTTATGTTTGGTGGAGGTGGGGGGAAAGGGGGCAAATGTTTTGTTTTTTTTTTAACTCTAGTTAATTGCAGCAGGTTCTGAGTTGGGAATAATGCATTTCAGGAGATGAATTTTGGTGATGGAAATGTTGTACACAATCCTGTCAGGGTGTGTGTGTGTGTTCTCTGTGCTCAAATATGGTCCCCAAAGAAGTTATGGCAATGTGGGGATGTGTACACGAGACCCCCGCAGCAATTAGTTCAATAATGAAACAAACAAACTTATATAAGAGTCATGTGATAGTGAGATGGGCAGCATATAAATTAGAGAAAAAAGAAGAGAGAGAGAGAGAGAGAGAGAGAGAGAGAGAGAGAGAGAGAGAGAGAGAAAGAAGGAAGGAAGGAAGGAAGGAAGGAAGGAAGGAAGGAAGGAAGGAAGACATGGGAAAAAGAAATGAGGGAGAGAAGAAGACAGGAAGGGAACAAGAAAGGAAGGAAGGAAGGAAGGAAGGAAGGAAGGAAGGAAGGAAGGAAGGAAGGAAGGAAGGAAGGAAGGAAGGAAACTGTATAAACCCTGACAACTTTAAGATACCTGGACTTCATCTCCCAGAATTCCCCAGCCAGCACGGCTGATTAATTGTATTTCTACATTAGCTTGCTCAACACTTCCATGCACATTTGGTCCGAGTCTGTCTGTACTTTTTATACATAGGTTTAATACAGAAACTTTCAGTGTACATGCAAAGCAACGGAGCGAATAATAATAACCAACATAATAACACCAATAGGAGGAGGGCAATAAAGAAGATAAGAAGAAGGATAAGTGATAATACTACAGCCAGACTCCATGGGTAAATGATACATATAGATGTTATACAGATCTACAAGAATTAGATATTTAGCAGAGCGATGGTGCAAGGGAAGTACCTATGCCTGTATCTAGTTGTTTTGGCCTGCAGTGCCCTGCATTGCGCCATCCGGAGGGGAGGAGCTGAAGCAGGTTATGTACAGGATGTGAGGGTCTCCAGATATCTTCTCAGCGCAAAACATACAGCTCTTCTGTGGAAGATTTCTTAGGAAGCAGGATGAGGGTAGAGCGTTTGACGCACGAAGGCAGCAGGTGATACAAAGACGGCCTGGTTCCATCTGCCTGCCCTTTCAGCCGCCTTTTGCCCTCTCTCTGCTGGAAATACGGCAATGGGGCTGCTATTTTCACCTTCTGAGCCAGCTTCCTTGCTGATGTTTGCCTCCTGGCCCAAGGACCTCTTTGCCTCCTCCTGCTTCTGATTTATTTTTTCTAGCTTTGGGTCCTGCTCCGTTTTCTTGGTGAGCCTCCCAGTCTTTCCAGCTGCTGAAACTGACCCTTAGGACACCTCAGGGTTTAGACTTTCAGCAGGAGAAAAGCGCCAGGAGAGGCTAGAAAAGATCGTAAGAGCACTCTAAAAGCCGAGAGTACAGGGAGCCCTCAACATAGGACCACAACGGAGCCCAAAATTTCCATTGCTAAGCGAGACAGTTGTTAGGTGAATTTTGGCCCATTTTAGGACCTTTCTGGCCACAGTTGTTAAATGAATTACTGCAGTTGTTAAGTTAGTAACACAGCTGTTAAGTGAATCTGGCTTCCCCATTGACCTTGCTTGTCAGAAGATCGCAAAAGGGGATCATAGAATAGAATAGAATGGAATAGAATAGAATAGAATAGAATAGAATAGAATAGAATACAATACAATACAATACAATACAATACAATACAATACAATACAATACAAAATATGGAATAGAATAGAATGGAATGGAATGGAATGGAATGGAATACAATACAATACAATACAATGGAATAGAAACTTTATTGTCACTTTAAATGTACACTAATCAGCATACATTAAAATGAAATTTTGTTGCATTCAGCTCTCAAAAAATATCATTATGCATATACCCTCATACATACACAGTTATAACACAGAGAAACATCACAGTCTAGTTCGAATGTATACATATATATGGCGAAAAAAAAGAATCCTGCAAATTTACAAGACGGATGGCATAAGGAACAAAACTATTGCAGAATTTGTAGTTCTGCTAGGGTTTGTCAAAAATAGATCATGCCAGACAAATCTTATTGCATTCTTTGACCAAGTGACAAAATTAGTGGATCAGAGGAATGCTGTGGACATAATTTACTTGGACTTCAGTAAGGCATTTGATAAAGTAGATCACAACCTACTACTTGACAAGATAGAAAAATGTGGGGTAGACAGAACCACCACCAGATGGATCCGTAGCTGGCTGACCGGCCGTACTCAGCGAGTGGTCCTCAATGGAACTGCATCTATATGGAGGGAAGTGTGTAGTGGGGTGCCCCAGGGCTCTGTTCTGGGCCCAGTACTCTTCAACATCTTCATCAACGATTTGGATGAAGGGATAGATGGGGAACTCATCAAATTTGCAGATGACACCAAGCTGGCAGGAATAGCCAACACTCCAGAAGACAGGCTTCAGGTACAGAAGGATCTGGACAGACTTGAACACTGGGCACTAACTAACAAAATGAAATTCAATGGTGAAAAAAGCAAGGTTCTACATTTAGGCAAGAAAAACCAAATGCACAAGTACAGCATAGGTGGCACCATGCTCAATAGTAGTAACTGTGAGAGGGACCTCGGAGTCCTAGTAGACAATCACTTAAATATGAGCCAGCAGTGTGCTGCAGCTGCCAAAAAGGCCAACACAGTGCTAGGCTGCATTAACAGAGAGATAGAATCAAGATCACGTGAAGTATTAATACCACTCTTCAATGCCTTGGTAAGGCCACACTTGGAATACTGCATCCAGTTTTGGTCACCACGATGTAAAAAAGATGTTGAGACTCTAGAAAGAGTACAGAGAAGAGCAACAAAGATGATTAGGGGACTGGAGGCTAAAACATATAAGGAACGGTTGCTAGAATTGGGTATGTCTAGTTTAACGAAGAGAAGGACAAGGGGGGACATGATAGCAGTATTCCAATATCTCAGGGGCTGCCATAAAGAAGAGGGAATTAAGCTATTTTCCAAAGCACCTGAAGGCAGGACAAGAAGCAACGGGTGGAAACTAATCAAGGAGAGAAGCAACCTAGAACTAAGGAGAACTTCCTGACAGTGAGAACAATTAATCAGTGGAACAGCCTGCCTCCAGAAGCAGTAAATGCTCCAACACTGGAAGTTTTTAAGAAGAGACTGGACAGCCATTTGTCCAAAATGGTGTAGGGTTTCCTGCCCGAGCAGGGGGTTAGACTAGATGACCTCCAAGGTCCCTTCCAACTTTACTATTATTATTATTATTACTTTGAAACCTCCTCCCAGAGGGGAGCAAGGAAAACACAAAGTGAAGTGGGTATACCATTAGGAAATTTATCCTTAGCTTTAGGTTGCTTCTCTCCTTGGTTCGTTTCCAACCATTATTTCTTGTCTTGCCTTTTGGTGCTTTGGAAGACAAGAAGCAACAGATGGAAACTAACCAAGGAGAGAAGCAACCCAGAACTAGGGAGAAATTTCCCAATTGGTTGAGACCAATCAACCAATGGGATAGCTTGCCTTCAGAAGTTGTTGACCCCGGGATATTGCAAGTGTCTTACATACATGCCAATTGCCAAGTGTCTAGATTTCGATCATGTGACCATGGGGATACTGCAAGGGTCGTAAGTGGAGAAAACCATCATACGTCACTTTTCCCATGCCGTTGTAATTTCGAACGATCTTGAAACAAAGTGTGGACCACCTGTAGGTGGATAATACCTATAGACTCACCTGGGATTGGCATGAGAATTGAACATCACAGGTTATGGTCTGCTGCATAGTAAATCAGGGCGTTTTAATAGTTCCTGTTGCTAGTAGTACATCCTCTCAAGGGAGTGAGTATCAAACACGGCTGAGTCTAATAACCTGTCCATAAAACTGATATATTGAGGCAGAGAGAGTGGCCCTTGCAAGCGGCCAAGAAAAAGCCCAAGAAGGGATCGAAAAGGCCAGGCGTCACCGCTCATTTTTCTAAAGAGTTTAATTGGATTTATCTTACTAGATAAGCTGCGGACAAAACCAGGCAGCCTGATGATGCCTCGTGTCTACAATTTACAAAACCGACTCTAGAATTTGAAAAGAGCGATGCAGCAGTGGAAAATGCAAGGGGACAGCAGCCTTTCAGGTTTTCTGGCAGGTGGAGAGGAGGACGAGGAGGAGGAGGAGATAAAAAGCCATTTCAAAATTCAGGAAAGCCAGGCAAGTGATGTGCAGGGGAGTCAGCCAAGCCCTGATCATGAGCTGGAGGGAGATAGTTCAAAACCTTTTCATTTGACTGAGGTGGAACAGATGCCTCGAAATCTGATCTTTCTTTTGAGTTTGAGCTTCAACAAAAACTCTGTTGTGGTGGTGGTGCTGTACCATCCTGTGAAGTCTTGGTAAAAAAAAAGAGAGAGGGGGGGGGACATGGGAAGAAGAAATAGGGAAAGAGGGAGATGAGAGAAGGGAGGAAAGAAGGAGAAAGATGGAAGGGAGGGAGGGAGGGAGATGAGAGAAGGGAGGAAAGCTGATGGAAAGGAGAAAGATGGAGGAAGGAAAGGAAGGAAGGAAGGAAGGAAGGAAAAAGAAAGAAAGAAAGAAAAAGAAAGAAAGAAAGAAAGAAAGAAAGAAAGAAAGAAAGAAAGAAAGAAAGAAAGAAAGAAAGAAAGATGAGAGATGGAAGGAAAGGGATGAAAGGAGAAAGATGGGGAAGGAAGGAGAGAGATGAAGGAGGGAGGGAGGGAGGGAGATGAGAGAAGGAAGGAAAGAAGGATGGAAGGAGAAAAATGAGGGAGGGAGGGAGGGAGGGAGGAAGGAAGGAAGGAAGGAAGGAAGGAAGGAAGGAAGGAAG